AGGAAACAGCCCTGAAAGTCTCAAGACAGCTAGTGATGTTGCCCTCTGACCATTTGACTAGCTCCACATAGAACAAAGGAGGTTTGTTTTCTTTTCCTTATTGCTAAAGCAAAGTAGAAAAATGTGTGCTTAAGAGAACAGTCTAGAGTTGTTGTTGTTGTTATCATTATTGCTAAGGGTAAAATAACATTATAAAAATGAATTCTTAACCAGAACATACTAATATAGCTCCCATATTCTAGTACCAAAGATTGTCATGGAAATCTAAGTAAAAGATGTACAATGATGAACTTTGTATAGAATTTTATTGTTTTAATCAGTTTGAACATATGTTAAGACCATTTTGGAAATCCTTGTGTAGAAAGTAGATTCTACTGTTTTTAGCAGAGGAGAAAGTCTAACTGCAGTCTATAAATAGCCTAGAAATGGAAGGAATTCTTCTCTCAGAACCTTCCTGTGGAAACAGGTTATGAGTTAGCATAAACCCTGAACGTCTTAAAGCTTATATGTTTTGTGAGGCCCGTGGGAGTGTCCACAGCTTGCCTCAGCAGTGGCCTGCACGCCGGAGTGTGGCCTCTAAAGTGTTAGCACATATACTTTAATAAGTGCTCTTAAAGCAAAGACTGTTGGGAAGTAACTAAGCCAGGAGAAAAAGAGAAACCTCCAGCAGTGCAGGGTTTGCTTTGTTAGGTAAAATGAATTGAACCTTATTGTAGGAGGAAATATATTTTTTAATAATTACTTTTTAATTTAATTTTATTTATTCATTCATTTATTCTTAATATGAGCAGAGAAAGACACACACACAGAGAGAGAGAGGGAAACCGAGAAAGCAAGCCCCCAGGCCTGGGACTCGAACCGTGGTCGGCCATGTGGGACTGTCCAGCACCTTAGCCACCATGCCACCTGCTGGTCCCATGGAGGAAATATTAACTATGGTTTGCCAGGATAACTCAGATATTTAAATGATTCAGGCGTGTGTCTTTATGAAACTCACAGGACAGTAAGAGTAAAATATTATGGTAAAGCTGAAATGTTATGCTTGCAGCGAAACCTCTGTGGAGATAGAGGGTGGGAGTGCTGCTTTAATCCACCTAGAGAACATCTTTGGCTCTCACTAAATTTTTTTCCTACATCTATTTATTTGGACTCTGTCTTCCTGATGCTGATGCCACCTCCTCTGTCACTGCTTCCTTTGCCTTCCCTTACATCATTTTTTTTTTTTTAATTTTGTCATGGGGATGGCAGGTGACATGGTGGTTGAGATGCTGGATTCCCACATGGCCAACTACAGTTCCAGTCATGGACCTGGCAACTTGCTTTCATACTTCCCTTCTCTCTCTCTTTCTGGCCCAATTAAAAAGTTAATAATAATTTTTAAATAATTATTTTTTAAAATTATTTTGTCATAGGGCATGGACACTCACCCTAAAGAGATGAAGAGGAGAGAAAGAAAGCACCTCCCATAGGGAACAATCACACCATAGCATCATACCACAGTCCCCTCTTCATTTCTCCCTCCTCTCGAGATTTTAGACACACATGCACACACATTTGCAATGCTTCTCAAGCACTGTGTCCAGGACTCAAACCACAGAGTCACCTATGTGGACTGGCTGCCTTAACCACCAGGCCATGGAGCCAGCCCCTCTTACATCTTAAATATTGACTCCCACCTGCATTCCATCCTTTCCTTATCCTTCTTTTAATCCCTCTGTTCTCCTTGAGCAACTTTATTTCAAGTTCTTTGCAGCAAACCAATCTTATTCTCTGTCCCCTAAGGTTTAGACCCATATTTTCCATTATCTCCCGAATACCTCCACCTGAATATGCTGTTGACCCCTGGAATTCAGATCCCATATGATATTTTATCTTTTATCACTTGGTTAATCACATGCAAGCTACCCGTTAGTCTAAGCCAGTCATGCTGTCATCCCTTTCACTCTTAACCCATCACAGCTAACTAATCATTAAGTTACATAATTTCTGCCTTCTTAAGGTGTTTCAAATTTGTTCCCTCTTCATTACCACTGCTATCACCTCAGTTCACATTTTCAACATTTACAAGAGCTTCTCTAATCCCTGAAGCTAGCTCTTCTTTTCCAACTCATCCTTCACACAGTCAGAGATGTTCTTTATAAATGTCACTCTCCTGCTTAAAACTTTAGTGGCTTCATATTGTCTGCCTTTTTTACAATCTCAGGGATCTACAGGGATTGGACAGATAATGTATGTGAGTAAAGTAGGGCAAATGTGAGACGATAGAGAAGAATAGGACAGTACATTTTAAAGCATTGTTTCCAGCCTTCCCAGCCCCAGGTACCAGCCCTTTGGAAAACAATCCCTCCATGCAAAGGGGTGAGTGGTCCCAGGATGACCCAAGCACATCACATTCACCGTGCACTGCACACACCATTTCCACTACAACCACATTACAATATGCAATGAGACAGTCACACACAGTTTATGCTCCCATGAGAATCCAGTATCACTGCTGGTCCAACAGGAGGCGGAACCCAGGCTGCAACACAAGAGGTGGAGATTAGCTGCAAACACAGATGAAGCCCATGCCCTCCCACCATCCACCCTCTGCCTTGCGCCCTGTTGGGCCAGAACTGATCCATGGCCTGGGGATTGGGGACCCCTATTTTAAAGGATGTATGACAAACTTGGGAACCAGCAGTTAGCGTAATGGCTATGTCGCTGGACTCCCACGTGGTCGACCACGGTTCGTGTCCCAGACCCAGTGGCTTAAAACTCACGCTGGGCGTGCATACGTGTATGCCCAAGATCCCAAGAGGAGAATGGAGGAGAAGGGATTGTGGCATGGCCATCCCCCCCTGGAGGAGGTCAGCTAAAATCCAGGATTAGCCATCTGAAAGGGAATTCAAGCTCATGTTACTGTTGACAAATTTATGAGCAATATGGGACTATGGATTCTCTACAATTAAGTATAAGGTACAAAGCCTGTATTTTGTCTACACATAAACTCCCTCCTATCCTTTTTTACTTTATTTATTTGTGTATAGAAGGTGTTAGTGAAAATTTGATTCAGTGATATTAGGATATGTTAGATGTTTATTTTGGTTTATTCTCTAGAGCTATATAAATTTAAAGCACCAAAGGAAGGAAATAAACAACTTAGTTTTCTTTACCAAAACATTTAGCATGTAAGTAAGGGAGAAGGGCTGTTAAGTTCATGTTTTATTTCAAATGTACAAAGTGTATATAGTGATTGATTCAGGAACACTGAAGAATTGTTAAAAGAGTTTTCATCATTCACTTAGAGGAAACAAAATGTATCATCTTGTCAAGTTTTGCTTTTTTTTTTCCTTTTATGTTTTCAACTCCAGCTTAATATTTACATTTAAGTACACTTTACTCAGTTTATGTGTATGCAGCTCACATGATTGAAATGGGGGCTGAGTAACTTATAGTATGTTTTTCTGCCTACCTATAGTGATAATGAGTAAATTAGTATAAGAAAGCAACCTGACATTATCCTGTTGGCAGATGACATGCACAGAACTCCTGATTGTACTTATAATACAAAGACTAGAAAGAAAAAAGTAGAAAACTAGCTTATTTTAAAGGCAAGACAAAGACAGAGTTTCAACTCCTTACTTTGATACAACATGTCTCATCCCAGACAGACGTTCTTGTGCAAGTAAATAATACAGTCAGGCATCACTTAGCCATAGGGGTACTTTCTGAGAAATATGTCAGTAAGCAATTTTTTTGTTGTGTGAACATCATAGAGTGTATTTACAAAAACCTAGATGGCGTATGGTATAGCCTACAACACATGAGGTTATATGGTATACCGTATTGCTCCTAGGCCGCTAACTTGTACATGTCATTAACTGAATACTGTAGGCAACTTTAACACGGTGTTAAGTATTTGTGAATCTAAACATAGAAGAAATACAGTAAAAATATGGTGTAATGGGGAGCGGCAGACAGCATAGTGGTTATGTCGCTGGATTCCCACATGGCCAACTGCAGTTCAAGTCCTGGACCCTTGGCTTGAAAAACACGCCAGGCGTGTGTGTATGCATGCCCAAGATCCCGGGAGGAGAATGGAGGAGAAGGGATTGTGGGATGGCCAGCCCCTCTGGGAGTGATTTCTCTACTTTCCCTTTCACTGTCTCTCTCTAGTAAGTGCACATGCCCTAAGTAAAAAGCTCTTTTAAAAAAAAATAGAAGCAGCAGCAGAAGATAGAGGCACTTTGCTCTAAGCCAAGCAGTGACAATCTGCTTTTTACAAAGTAAAAGGTGATACTAGATAAATGAGAAAGAGTGGAATTACCATCATTTCACTACCTCTGGGGAATGAAGAGAAGGGGAGTAGGTTAGCCTGTTTGGGTTCCTATTTTTTTTTAAATTATGATTCCTGGTGTACATATAATAAATACATATCTTTTGGGGCTACAATATGGTTTTCTTATTGGGTCACTGTTGTATATGCAGGCAGTCATTGACCAAAACTTCATTATATACTATTCAATATATAGTTAAGCAGCAGAGCAACTGCATCAATATTATACAGCTAAGAAGATGGTGTCTAAGAAAGCAAAACTGGAGGCTGGCAGGGTGGTTGAGGGCACTGGACTCCCACATGGCCAACTGTGGTTCAAGTCCCAGAGCTGGTAGCTTGCTTTCCCACTTTCCTTTTCTCTCTCTCTGGTCAAATTAAAAAATAATGATAACAAACAGAATTAAATAAGTGGATAAATAATTCTTTTCAAAAAATAAAGCAAAACTGAGTTTTAAAACACAAAGATGGACAAGAACCATCTTCACTGGTCATGGCAAAATTCCTTTTAGTTTTGAGAAGTATTGCTAAAAGGTTGACTGAGATAAATCATTTTGTGATTTTTGTATTATATTTTAGTGTTGAGCCACTTATTTTCTTAAAGAAATTATTTTTTTCTAGTCAATGCCTTCTAAATATTTTTCTTTTCCCTCCCTTCCTGCTTCCCTCTCCTTTGCACTTCCAGCTCCGCAGAGAAATTTTGAAATTGCCTTCAAGATGTTTGATTTGAATGGAGATGGAGAAGTAGACATGGAGGAGTTTGAACAGGCAAGTGGTTCTAAAAAGTTCCCTTAAACCCGTTAATATTGAAAATACATTTTCACATTCCTTAGAATTATGTTAACTTTGGTCAGCGTGCTCTGAGGCTATTCTAATTTTTTAAGTACCTGATATGTCATTTCTCAAAAATGACCTGTTGAACAGGTGGATTGTTTTTGTTTTAAATACAAATCTAAGGAATTATTTGAGCATGTGATTGATTGGTTGAAGTTGCTCTGATTTCCCAACATGCACTAGGCTGTATTGCCTGTAGTTAGGAGACTAAATTATGACTATTTGATCATATCTCCAGTCAACATTTTTCAAAAACCTCCAATGTGCCAAGCAGTTGCAGAATACAAGGCTGAATTACATATGTTCTTAAATGATTTCTGTAAAAGAAGGAAAAATGGTAATATATCTTTGACTATAGTAAATTCCAACCATGGATGTTTATAGTTTCCTCTGAATCCTAGGTAGAGACTCCATTTCCATAGAATTCTGCCACTGGGAATCCACTGTACCTTCCCAGATACATTTTGATTGCCAAATGTGATTTCAAAAATGTGTGTGTGTGTGTGTGTGTGTGTGTGTGTGTGTGTGTGAAGGAGAAAAATTTTTTGGCAGATACATGTGTGCGTGCACATAAAATCAAAACAGCATGGAGAAATGGAGACCGTGTTGCAACATGACCATAACCCATTGTGAGGGGTACTTTCTCTCTCTTCTTCTTTCTCTCTCTGGCAAGCACATGTATCCTTGGCAACTGAATTACTTGACTGATCAGTCAGTTAGTGAGGCATGAACCCATGATCCGTCTGACTGAGGCTTGGGGGTGATTGTGGTGTCAAGACCCTGTCAGGCATGCTGTTTGTCAGTCACTCTGTCTCTCTCTCATGGAATAAATAAATTAACCTTTAAAAATTTAGCAAAACTAAGACACAAACACACACATTAGTCTAGGTTCACACAGGGTTGAAGTCATCATTATCACTGTCTTCTACCTCGATACCTTTTCTCACTAGAAGGGCCATGATGAGTAAAACAACACAAAAATTTAAGCATAACAAAAAATGATACAAGAGACTGCATAAAATCCAAACTCTGTGAGGCTGCTTCCAGAGTAACATGCTTTACTGGTTTGTTTGTGTTTCTTTTGATATTTTTGCTATAAGGCATGTATGCTTGCTGGAGACAAAGAGACAGAAAGTGAGAAATCACCTCACCACTGGGAATGGCCACACCACAATCCCTTCTTCTCCATTATCCTCTTGGGATTTTGGGCACACAGGCACATGTGTCTGGCGTGATTTTAAGGCCACCAGGTCCAGTACTCGAACCACAGTTGGCCATGTGGGAGCTCAGCAACATAACCATTACACCATTTGCTGGTGCCAAGCATACTGTTTTATAATAAACTTTTTTTACAAGTAGAAGTATATGCTAAAGTAACAGTAAAAAGTGTATTAAATACATAAAGCAGTAAATAGTTGTTTATTATCATTATCAAGTGTCATGTGCTTTACCTAATTATGTATGCTATACTTTCTTACGACTGGAAGTACAGTAGATACACTAGTATCACCAACAACATGTGAGTAATGCATTATACTTTGATGTTAAGGCACCTCACAAAACAATGGGAATTGTTCAGCTCTAATAATCTTATGGGACCACTTTCATATATTCAGTCATCATTGACTGAAACTTCATTACGTAGCATGTGACTATAATATTGATCACAGGAGAATTCAATATAAAAACTCTAAAAGGAGGGGTTGGTTAGTTAATGGTTAAGGCTCTGTTTTCCCACATGGCCAACCATAGTTTGAGTCCTAGACTTGAAAATCATAATGGACGCCTGCGCATGCAACCCCAGAATCCAAGAGGACACTGGAGGAGAAGGGATTGCCATGTGGCCATCCCAGCTGGGATCTGAGTTCTTACTTTCCCTCTCACTGTTTCTCTCTGTCTCTCTGGTGAGCACCCGTACTCTATGGCAAAAACCTAAAACAAACAAAAAGTGCAAAAGGTTTTCATACATTCAGATTGGCTCTAATTTCCCAAATGAAGTATTGTCTCTGATGGAATTGCAGTGTATTTCTTAAGTTTTTTTTTAAATTAAGCAGAATTAAGCCATATTTTATCATTACTTATTTTTACAGTTAATTTTGCATAAAGGAAACTAATAGCTAATATTATCCTTTCATTCATCTTTTCCAAAATCACTTTGATCGTGCATAAAAGCACAGTGTACTAAAAAGAATTCATGAGCTGCTAATACTGTGAGCTTTCTCTTGACTTTTCTACCACATGACTTCGTTTCCTTAACTATTTTATAGCAGATCATAAGACAGTCTTAGGCTACCAAAAGGTTTTAAAAATATATATGTATCTTCTATAACTGCTTAGGCTACATTCACCCAAGGTCATGACTGAAGTACTTTTTACTGTGACTATGAGTACATGTTATGTGTCAGTTGTAGACAGAATAAGATTTTTATTTCAGAAATGTTTCATATTTCTTTTTATTTTCTCCATACATATGGCATATAGAAAGCATTCACATAACTAGTCAAATTGATAGATTTTGAGTGAATCTTATATGTTGTTAACCAGCATTAGTTTGTTTTTGTTTTTTTTGTTTTTTTATTTGCCAGAGGGCTTGCATGCTCTCCAAAAACAGAGCGAGAGAGGGAACCAGCAGTTAGTGTAATGGCTATGTCGCTGGACTCCCACGTGGTCGACCACGGTTCGCGTCCCGGACCTGGTGGTTAAAACTCACGCCGGGTGCATGTGCGTGCGTGCCCAAGATCTCGAGAGGAGAATGGAGGAGAAGGGATTGCGGTGTGACCATCCCTCCTGGGGGGTGATTTCTCGTTTTCTGTCTCTATGTCTCTCTGTCTGTCTGGCGAGCGCATGCACCCTATAGTGAAAAAAAAAAGAACAAAAACAGCGAGAGAGAGAGAAGGAAAATGAGAAAGCACCTCCCATAGAAGATGGTCACACCACATCCCTACTCCATTTCTCCCTCCTTTCATGATCTTGGCCCTAAAATTTCTCAGTTGAGAGATATTTTTTTTTGAAATATTCTTATTTAAGGGCCAACCAGTGATGGATTGGTTAAGGTGGCTGGATCCTACATGGCTAACCACGTGGTTTAAGTCTTGGACCCAGCAACTTGAAAAACATGCTGGGCTCATGTGTGTGCATAAAAGGAGGGAGAAATGGAGCCAGAATTGCGGCATGACCATCCCTCATGGGGGCTGCTTTCTCACATTCGTTTTCTATTGTCCCCTCACCCTGTCTCTATTTGGCTAATGCACATGCCCTCTGGCACATGTTTTTTTAATTCTAAGAAAATCTCTCTCTGTCTCTCGCGCACGCACACACACGCATGCAAAAGCTAGTAATAACTACTTTAAAATTTTTTTAATGGAAGAGCACTTGTTACTGATAGTTTACACATAACTGGAACAGTATTTGGACTGAACTGTTATTAATCGTTAACTAAGCTGCTATAGCATTAGTTAATTTCCCCCGAAAACACTTCTTTTTCTCAATCACTCATACACTGTAGAAACCACAGTTTTGCTGCAAGCATATTCCCTTTCCAGGTAAGAGAGACTTTAAAATACTACCAGGGAATGATATAAGCGGCAGTATTTAGAGCCATAGGCAAGATTTAAGTCATGGCAGGTCCCAACACTGACGTTCAATACAGATTCACTACTATTAGAAAATTCTTTAGTTCTCACACTCTGGCAGGTAAAATAAATTATGCATTGCCTTAAAATAGAAAATTGTTCTGATTATCCTGTATTTCAATCTGAAGTCTAAAAATATTAAATTTTAATTTTAAAATTCATTCTGTACCTGTCATTCACGTCTCCAGGCCCTTGAACATAAACATATGTTGATTAATCTTATTTACATGACAAAATTAAGAAGTCATAGCTATAGCATTCATTTTAACATAGAGTTATATGGAGACTTAGTGATAATGTATTCTAACCTTGCATTTTTCCAGTGAGAAAACTAAAGCATATGTGGGGATCCTGCCATCTTAACCACCATGCCATCAGCTGGCCCCAAAATAAGTCAGCTTTTAAACAATGACTAGGAAATAACTCAATAGCTAATGGTAACAGGTAGCATACTCTTTTTTTTTTTTTTTTTTAAGAATTATTTATTTATTGGGAACCAGCAGTTAGCGTAATGGCTATGTCGCTGGACTCCCATGTAGTCTACCGCGGTTCATGTCCCGGACCCGGTGGCTTAAAACTCATGCCCGGCGCATATGCGTGCGTGCCCAAGATCCTGAGAGGAGAATGGAGGAGAAGGGATTGCGGCGTGACCATCCCCCCTGGGGGGTGATTTCTCGCTTTCTGTCTCTATGTCTCTCTCTGTCTGTCTGGCGAGCGCACGCGCCCTATAGTGAAAATCTCTCAAAAAAAAAATTATTATTATTTATTTATTTAATTCCATTTGTTATTATAATTAGTATTATTATTTTAATTTGACCAGAGAGAGGCAGAGAAAGAGAAAGCAAGGAAGCAAGCCATCAAGTCTGGGACTCGAACTATGACTGGCCATGTTGGAATCCAGCGCCCTTAACCACCATGGCACCTGCTGGGCTCCGGATAATATACTCTTATTAGGATGTTCTCTACAGAAGATTATCCATTGCAAAGTCTTTATCTCTGACTCTTTGTCTTTGAGACATCAAACCCCACATTTTTCCTCTATACTTCATTGCTTCCCATAGAACTTTTGCTATTACAATATCCCAAAATGATAGATTATTATTTTCTAAATACAAATTGGCATTCACCAGTAGATTATATTTCCCTTAAGGACATGGACTAAGTGTAATTCTTTTTTATATTTCTTAGCAGGTAGCCCATAGTTTGTAATAAGTATGTAATTATAAAACTAGATTTTTAAAAGGATAAATAAATTTTGTAAATTATACCAAAACTTGAATTTTAAATGATTTTGAAATGTATATTTGATTGTTCCCTTTTATGTATGCATAATAATTAATATAATGTTCTTGTGGGGAGAGTACAACATAGAGTACTATTAATCTTTGTGAAAGTAATCTCAGTTTTACTTCTTTTAATTCTGTAATGGATTTACATTTAAGTCAGTATGATATTATGATTAAGTGTTTAATCAGAATGGTAATAATAGCTACCATTTCTTGAATGCCTTTTTCATGGAAAACCCTTACTCTAGGAATATTTGCATATATTATCTCTCTGATCCTCACAACAAGTCTGTAAATACAAGAAATATTGTCCCCATTTTACATAAGGAAACTGCAATTCGGAGAGCTTGAGTACTTGCCCAAGGAAACACACCTAGTTTTAGGGGTCTACAAACTGTTCATGCAAAAACGTGCATAAAGAAAAAACTATGCATGGGACCAGCAGTTGGTGTAATGGCTATGTTGCTGGACTCCCATGTAGTCGAACACAGTTCGAGTCCCGGACCAGGTGGCTTAAACTCATGCCGGGCACGTGTGCGTGCAAGCCCAAGATCCCAAGAGGAGAATGGAGGAGAAGGGATTGAGGCGTGGCCATCCCCCCTGGGGGGTGATTTCTCGCTTTCTGTCTCTCTGTCTCTCTCTGTCTTTCTGGCGAGCACACAAGCCCTGTAACAAAAATCTCTCCAAAAAAAGAAAAAGAAAAAAAAAACTATGTATGGATTTTTAAAAATTTCTACACCTAAATAAACTAGTACTTTAATTCATTTTTCCACGAACTTTTTGAAGTCCCCTTATAATGTGAATTTGAGCGGGTCTTTCCTAGCTTAAAATTTTTTGTTCTTTCTGGGACTAGCAGATGGCTTAATGGTTATGTCGCTGGACCCCCCCCCAGTCGACCACAGTTCAAGTCCCAGACCCGGCGGCTTAAAACTCACACTGGGCTCATGTGTGTGTGTGTGTGCCCAAAATCCTGAGAGGAGAATGGAGAAGGGATTGCAATGTGGCCATCCCCCAGAGAGTGATTTCTTGCTTTCTGTCTCTCTGCCTCTCTCTTTTTCTCTGGCGAGCGTACACGCTATATAGCAAAAAAAAAAATCTCTCTGAAAAACATAATATCTGTTTTTACAATAGACATTTATTTAAAGTAATACACCTGCAGATCAAATTATTTTTTAATTAAATGTTTCAGGTTTGACCCCAACTTAATAAAAATACTTTTTTCTTTTTCTTTTTCTTTTTTTTTTTTTGGAGAGGTTTTCACTATAGGGCACATGCGCTTGCCAGACAGACAGAGAGAGACATAGAGCCAGAAAGCAAGAAATCACCCCCTCCAGGGGGGATGGTCACGCTGCAATCCCTTCTCTTCCATTCTCCTCTCAGGATCTTGGGCACGCATGCACACGCACCCGGCGTGAGTTTTAAGCCACCAGGTCCGGGATGCAAACCGCGGTTGACTATGTGGGAGTCCAGCAACATAGCCATTACACTAACTGCTGGTTCCAAATAAAAATACTTTTTAAGGAAAACTGTATCCATGATTGCAATTACTAATTACTTCTTTTTTTATTTTTTTTTGAGAGGTTTTTGCTATAGGGCGCATGCACTATAGGGAGAGAGACAGAGACACAGAAAGCAAGAAATCACCCCCCAGGGGGGATGGCCACGCCGCAATCCCTTCTCCTCCATTCTCCTCTCGGGATCTTGGGCACACACGCACAAGTGCACAACGTGATTTTTAGCCACTGGGTCCTGGACTCGAACCACGGTCGACTACATGGGAGTCCAGCGACATAGCCATTATGCTAACTGCTGGTCCCAACAACCTAATTACTTCTTTGCCCACTCTTTTCTCTCTTTTCTTTCCCAAATAACCTCTTTCAGATATGGCACAAGGTAGAAATTACCCTCCTCATATTTTGTGCATTGCTCTTTAGGCAAGGTGTGCTGCCTCGTGGTCAGGTCCAGGGCTCTCTTAATGCAAAACATCCTGTCATTATAAAGGTTCTCAGGAAGTCTTCTTAAGGCTTCCTTTATATCTTCATTCTCATATATTGTATCATCTCACATTAGCCCCAGTTTATTGAATCCTGCAGCGTTGTTTTACCATTTCCAAATACCATCCAGCCACCAACCTGATGCTGAAATGGCTGGCCTGCTCTCCACTTTGAAACAAACAAAAAATTTTGTGTGTTCTTTCTACTTCATCATGCTGTTGTGTTGAAAGATTACCCAATGATTTAGGAACATATAAAGATTTATGTTTATAAAAGTGGTATAAAAGCTATAGCAACCATAAACTTATCCAAAAAAGCTTATTTATATAGGTATATAGGTAGACCACTATTGCTAGTTCCCAAAATGAACTTTTCTCAACAAACTGACCTAAAACTCCTAAAGATGAAACTAATTGTCTGTGTTTTCTTTGGGTATTATTTCATATCAACAGTGTATCCATGTATCGTTCTAATGTAAGTCTTCCGAGATATGGAAGATATTATTGTGAGCTTGGTAATTATTCTAATTATGTAAGAGAGCTGCAAAAACAAATGCTTACCACTTTCTGAAGAGAGATTCTTTAAGAGGATCCCAAATACAAAGGTGTCAGGCTGTCTGTGTTAGAATCCTGGTTCTGCTACTTGCTAGTCACTTGTCTTTAAGCAAGTTATCTAACTTTATATGCTTCAGTCATGGCATCTATAAAAGGAGAATACTACTAGGACTTCCTTTATAAGAATTATAAGAGATAATAGTAGCACAGTGTAGGAAAATGGTAAACAAGCATTATTATTCTTACTTTTCTAATTTTTTGTCCACTTTATAATGTTTCTGTGGATGGCATTTGATTTTGTATTAGGTCCAGAGCATCATTCGCTCCCAAACCAGTATGGGTATGCGTCACAGGGATCGTCCTACTACTGGTAACACCCTCAAGTCCGGCTTGTGTTCGGCCCTCACGACGTACTTTTTTGGAGCTGATCTCAAGGGGAAACTCACAATCAAAAACTTCCTAGAATTTCAGCGTAAACTTCAGCATGACGTTCTGAAGCTGGAGGTAGGTATTCCTTTATTCCTTGGACTTCAGGAGATCCATCACCCATGCACAGAGAGCCAGTGGGTTAGGTGGGCCTGTACCATAGGCATGCTGTCAATCTGCTTCTGGCTGTGAGAATGTAATAGTTTGGACCTTCTCGGTGATCTGCAAACTGATGGCAGGTAGGAAATAACACGATCTGTAAAAATGTCATGGTATAAACTGGTTCTGGCACAAAAACAAAAAGCCTAAATTGAAAATCTTAGTTGTTTTAGGATACCCAGCTTGAGAAGAAGGAAATTCAGGAGTCAGAGCACTTCTCAAGCTCAGTGTGTATTCCTTACCTTTGCTTGTTATTGCCAGAGGGCACAGGCACTTGACAGAGAGAGAAAGCAACTCCCCCCAACAGGGTGCGGCCAGACTGCAATCATTTCCCCTCCATCTCTCTATCCTGTCAGAACTGTGGACACACACACACAAGCACCTGGTGTGTTTTCTTCAAGCTACTAGGGCCAGGGCTCAACCATGATCAGCTATGTGGACTCTAGCTCCCAATGCACAATGCACAATGCCCAATCACTGTGTCTCAAACCCCCCAACTGTAGGAAAGACTCCAGAAGGTAGAAATGAGGGTAGATGATAAATACCTATTTCTATGAAAGTTTCCAAAGGTAATAACAGCTGGAAATGCAAAATGTCAGAATAAAAATACAGGTTAAGCCTCCCTAATCTAAAAATGAGAAATGGTCCAAAATTTAAAAAAAAAAAAAAAGTTTTATTGCCAGAAGGACCATATACTCTTCAGAGAGACAGTCAGAGAGAATCCCACCCACCCCTGCCATGGGGTGTGGTCATGTTGCAGTCCTTTTTCCTCAGTTTCTCCATTTTGACAGGCTTGCATACATGCAGGCATATGCAGTTGGGATGTTTTTCAAAGCCAAGGGCCAGGATTCAAACCACAGTTGGCCATGTGGGTCCCTGTGTGCAGAATCTGCCCAAATCAATTTTTTTTTTTTTTTTTTTAGTGTCAACATGACCTCAGCATTTTGGTGGTTCAGTGTACACAAACTTCATTTCATACACAAAATTATTTAAAATAGTGCATAAAATTACCTTTAGATTATGTGTGTAAAGTATATGTGAACTTTGTATTTAAGACGAGTCTGTCCCACCCCTACAATATCTCATTATGTATATGTATGTATTCCGAAGTTCAGAAAATCTGTATTATGAAACATTTCTGCCCACAATAATTTTGGAATACTCAACCCATATACGTACTCAGAGATGCCAAGATGCCCTACTATGTCTGGGGATTTACTAGTTTACTTTTCTCTCTTTTTTTTAAATTAAAGAATTATTTTATTCATTCATTCATTTATTTTAATTTGACCAGAGAGAGAGGAAGAAAGTGAGAAAACAAGCTACCAGGTCTGGGACTCAAACCATGGTTGGCCATGTGGGAGTATACAGTGCTTTAACCACCACACCACCTGGTGGTTCCACAAGTTTTCTTTTTTGCTTAAAATTTAGGCCATCATGCTGTCCAGTCCCTGTGTACAGTTCCCTAAGGACATTATAATGTCTATATGTGTATTTATTTAATTTAGTGCATTCTGGGTTAATTGACTATTGAGTCTGTTTAGTTGAAAACATTCATCAAAACCAAAGTGGGGGTGCGGGAGTGAACGGTTTGGAGTGAGTGTCTGACACCGGATCCAGTCACATTCTGTACTTCGGTGCAGAAATAGGATCCTGACACTGTGACGAAGAGGGTAGTTCTGAGAAACATTTGCGACAGTGTATTCATTTGGTTGGTTTTCTTTTTATTTTAAGCTAAACATCTAATAAAACATTGTAAATTAACAGCTCATACAATGCAGATTTAGAATTATTGGGTTTTTTTTTTAAAAAAAAATTTTGGAGAGGTTTTTGCTATAGGGAGTGTGCGCTCACCAGACAAACAGAGAGAGACAGAGAGATAGAAAGCGAGAAATCACCCCCCAGGGGGGATGGCCACACCGCAATCCCTTCTCCTCCATTCTCCTCTCGGGATCTTGGGCACGGTCGACTACATGGGAGTCCAGCGACAGCCATTACGCTAACTGCTGGTCCCATATTGTTTGATTATCATAAAACATATTTTGTCCCTAGTTTTTAAAAGACCCAAACTATGATTTATATAATTTACTGGTATTTTTGATGAATAGGTTTAAGTCAGATAATAGATTAAAAAAAGAAGAAGCAATGTGTCAAAATTTAATGTTTTTGTGATAATAATAAATATTATGTTCACTTAAAATTCATCAAATGCCTTCTATTTGCACATGTGTATGGAAGCAAAACAATGAAGTTTAATTTCTTGAGATTTTAAAAATTCACTTACACTGTTTTCAACCTCTTTTTTTAAAACACATACCCTATTTTAATATTATTTGAATAATAATATTTATGTACCATGACTAAAAACACATGAAATTATCAGGGAAAATTATTGCTTTGTTTTTAAATTACATATATTACTTCTCTATCTGTTGTCCCTTTTTCCTCTGATATTCTGATATCTTATTTCCACTTTTTCCACCCATCTGACTCATTGAGACAGTTTCAATATTGTCACTGAATTCTAATTATCATAAGGACGATGTTTAATATTCATACTCTAGCAGAAAAACAGCAGGACAGATAATATTTAAAAACCAAACTTTGGAATGTGCTATGTGCTTTTGTACTTGTTTTTTGAAAATGATGTAATTGGTTTTGAGAGAATTTGCCTCAAAAAAACAAAGTAATGGATCTCTACAATTAAGCCAAGCTTCTTGTGGAGACTCTTATAGCCCCTAAAAAAAGTGCAAGTGCGATATATATAGTAAAAAGTCAATAAACATTTACTACATTGAAAAGCTTTAGCGCCTCCCTTTTCTGACACCTTAGCATTGCTGAATAGATAGCTTTCCCTATCTACAAACTAAGTGAGCATTAGTAAAGACAGTTTTCTGTCCAGATTTTGAAGGTTTTTCTATACTATGTTACAAAGGAATATAATACACCAGCCTAGCAAATCACTTAAAAAGATTTCAACGTTAATTGCAACAAAAGAATTTAACTAGTCATCTCTCACTTATCAGCCAATTAATCATAAATTAACCATAAAGCCTCAGTTCCTAAATACTTGAGTTAGTCAAAGTTTTGCTTTTCTCTAGTTGTACTTAGAGGACTTTATTTACAGCATAACGTCAATACTGTAGCTCTTGTCCATTACCTTGTTGCAGAAAACCATAGCAGATAGTGGAGTTCAAAATAAAATGAAACAAATGGTGAAAATTACATGTCCAATGGCATTTAAGCATTAGGCTTTAAGGACTTTGGAAATGCTAATATTACTATTTTCACTGCATGGAAAACAGGTACTTATCAGACAGCAACTTTTATTTTGTTCACTTGTTTATATTGAACTGGGTATCTTGGATATTTTTATATATAAAATATACTAGAGATACTACAACAATAACACACACACAGACACACACACACAAACAAAGGCATAGCACTTACCTTTGTGAAGTTAGTGTTCTTATTAGGAATATTTCAATATACTCCTCAAAGTGGAGAAGAAAGAAGTAGACCTTATCCAAAAATTTTTGTGTAAGATTTCATATGTACTAGGATTCAAGTCATATGCCTTGATCCTAGTGTATAGCCAGACTGATTTTCTTTGGAAACATTATACCATAGTCTAGGAATATAAGCGATTCAATTTATTATATAATTACAACTGTTTTTGTTTTTGTTTTAAACTTTTCCAGAATTCATGTGTACTCACCAGAAAGACAGATGGAGAAGGGGAAAGGGAAGAGCATCCCCATGGCATGGGGGTCATGCCATAATTCCTTCTCCCTTTCTCTACACTCTCAGGATTTGGGGCTTGCTCACATGAGCATCCAGCATGTTTTTTAAGCCACAAGGGCCAGGATTCAACTACGTGGTTGGCCATGTAGGATCCACCTATTTAACCACAGAGCCAGCCCTGTAATTGCAGTTTAACAAAGTGTAGATCCATACAGCATAGTTAGAGAATAAAGCACCAATTAAGATGGTACTTTTCATAAACTTCGAACAATACAGGGTCGACTAGAGGGCTGACCATGTGCCAGCCTGACCACAGTCTAGCCTGTAAATACACTGCCTGACAAGTATCTGCCTTCCATGCAGTGAAAATAGTAATATTAGCATTTCTAAACAAAGTCCCTAAAGCCTAATGCTTAAATGCCATTGGACATGTAATTTTTACCATTTCGTTTCATTTTATTTTGAACTCCACTATCTGCTATTGTTTTCTGCAACAAGGTAATGGACAAGAGCTACAGTATTGAGGTTATGCTGAAAATAAAGTCCTCTAAGTACCACTCAAGAAAAGCAAAAAAACTGACTAACTGGAGTATTTAGGAACTGAGGCTTTATGGTTAATTTCTGATTAAATGGCTGGTAAGTGAGTTAAACTCTTCTGCTGTAATTAATGTTGAAATCTTTTTAATGATTTACTAGATTGATGTATATATTGTATAGATTATCAATGAAGTAAAAAAGATAATAGAGCACATTAGGGATTTCATATATGTGTCATTGCACATAACCTACACCCATGTGAAGAAAAGGTGTAAAGGGAGTCATACGTAAGATATTTATTGTAGAAAGTGCTCTTGATTTGACATTGACATAGGCATTATTTCCATATTTCCAGTCCAGAGAATAAGTGCCTTTATATAGATGGCCCCTCTATTTAAAGTTGTATCAGTCAGTAGTGTTTCTTCCCAACTAGATTTGCAATGTTTTAAGGAAATATGAAAAGTAGAAAGCACATAGGCTTTGGTGCTACTAAGACTTTGGTTCTACTCCCGGATGGGTTACTGATTCTCTCAGAGACTGCCTCCTCATCTGTAAAACGGGGCAATGGTTAAGTGAGATGATGTTCATTAGAGACTGAATTTCTACTCCCCCCAAATTCATATGTTGAAATCTCA